ACATACGAAGTTAACGCGTGTTCAGCTTTGTGTCCACGATCCAAGAACTGTGTCCAAGTTCTAGTTCCGAAAAATGCGTAGCCAATCAACCTGCACGTTTTACGGAAGAGCTGCAAGCCGATTGGCTACGCATTTCTCAGAACTTGGACACAGCTCGTGGATCGTGGACGCAGGGCTTAGGTTTTCTTAATGTTTCAAAAAAAAATCAAAGTGCCGCCGCTTTAAACTCTTGAACTCTTAAATTACAAGATCCGTTTCCGGGTAGCCGTGGCGCGCAGAGGGCACGACGGCGAGGCTAATTGTCAAAGAACTGCGACGCGATTAGTGCCCGTCATTATAATTACCGCAAAACCATAACTGCGTCGTGACTAACGTCGTAACGAAGATTTAGATTGCGGATAAGGGACGTGGAAGGCGTTACGTTGTGCTGCAACGTCGCCTGCAATAACATGCGCGGTAAACCCCGGGCTGGTGATATTACACGAATAGCGTTTATTCGCATCCTCGCGGGAGTGTGTTGTCTTTCGCGCCGCTCGTTACCCCGCGGTTGTTCCTTCCATCTTCCCGGTGAACCTGCATCGCCGGCGAAACGATCCTGAGGTCGTCGCGAGTGAACATTCCCCTTCTTTCCCCAACTGCACGAGGACAGAAGCTGGATTCTTAAAGTCATTCGCGAGAGAAACGCTTGTAAGCTGAATTGGTTGTCGCATGATTTCCAGTCCACTTGCGACTTTTCTGTAGGAGCAGATTTTTCGCACATATTCGTTTCTCTTGCGAATAAATTCAGGAATACGAGTCCCAGAGTGAGAGAGCTCGACATTAAAGAATTATCGAATGTGCACACGCGCACGCGGTGTTTTTGTCTCGTCCACGTTCACGTTTCACGTGAAACGCACGGTATCGGTAGAGAAGAGAGTCTCCTATTATAAGAGATGCTTCTAATATGAGATAGCGGAGCCATCGGAAACGTCATTTGAAAGTTTATTGCGATAAATATTCAGGGTTGGGAAAGTTACTTTATAAAAGTACCTGGTTACAGTTACAGTTGTCTCGCTAAAAATAACCAGCGAATAGATAAAAGTAACTAGTTACAGTTACAAGATACCAATTCTGAAAATTAACGCGTTACAGTTACGCAAAAAGTAACTAATCGTTACCTTGCAGTTACTTTCTTGCAATAAAAATAAAAATATCAAATCTTCATTTGAATTGTAAAGTGTCGATAAAACAAGCAAACCAGTAGAAAAAATAGTATCGCCGCTGGCTTTACTCCTGTCGAAAAAGAGGCAAAATTCGGTAGTTCCTGGTAGTTTTCCGTCTGCAATATTGAATAGCTTAAGGTATAAGAAATAAAATTACAGCCAGTTCTAGTCAAATAATATTACTGTAAATTAGTTACTGGTTATCGAAACAATGTAACTGAGTTAAGTTACAGTTACAGATGGAGAGAAATTAACGAAGTTAAGTTAGAGTTACCAAAAAAGAAGTAACTATAACTGTAACTTCGTTACAAGTAACGAGTTACTTCTCAACCCTGTAAATATTACCACGTGCCTCAGTGGTCGAATTTGTGAGACGCCTAGAGCGTAGGGCGATCCACGTTCAAACCCTGGCTGAGGTATTTTTCGTAATAAAATTTCCGCCAGATATAGTCGACTAATGTTAAGTACTTGTTCTGTTAAATTAGTAGGCGTCATCTGTTGGCCCCACCGTAAACTTATTGTCCTTGGAGTAAAATCTGTTTAATGAAAAATTCATTGTTAGGTCGCGCGTGTAATTGTTGCGCGAAAAGATTCGCGAAATTGTATGTAGAAAACTCGCTGTCTCATATTAGGAGCCCGCCTCGTAAAAGAGGACGTTCCTCTACTTCGAAGTGTACTTACCACTCCCGTGGAAGCAGACGAGGCAGGAGAGAATAATTTTTTAGAGGGTTACATACATTTAAAAATTTCACGAAAACCGCATGTAACCCGCTGGGCTCTTTGTACACCCGACAGGCTCATACTGTATGCCGCGTAAGCCTTCTTTCTGCGGAATGCGCAATTATTTTTTGAATGCGCATTATATTAAATAGTCGCGTGTCCGCGACAGCCAACGTATCAACGCGAGTCACGTCGGGGCGTTTTACTATTACACAACTGTTCTTGATGGCGCGTCCGTTTGGCCCAAAAAGACTGGCGTTGTATAAAGGCCGAATCAGACTACACGGAAAAACCGATATACTGGATGCATAATTAGGATTGACACAACCACAATAAATAGTAATATTTGGGACAGCTATATTTGTGGTTGTCACATACACACACACATTGATGTAGTTACGGTGCCATAGTTGACATCTAGTGATTGTATACTACATTGTATAGTTGGGACAACCATAGAGAATTGATGGCGTTCGCGCCACACGTAGCTGTCGGAGCCACGTAATTGGTTTTTGCTTCTGTATGAATTAGGTGTGACACAAACGAAAATTGCTAGCACACGAGTGTAGATTAGTTGACGGAGAAAAAGTTATGGTTGTCGAGAAGTTATACTAAGTAGTGCTATGCCCTCTAACAAATTTTTATAATTATTATATAACTTGACATAGTTATATATTATGTAATTATATGTACATATCCGAGTCGGAATTTTGGCTCTATGTTGAGCCTTTAATTCTATTGTTATGTATCGTAGTTAATCGTAGAACCTAAGAGAGTAAAAGTCCCAATCCAATCCGCATCAACAATTGCTAGTCTAATTCGGCCTTAACGCGTTTTCGAGCGGCGGTACCTCACTCGTGGAATCACCGCACGCGTTTGCAGAACACGATCGTTCTCTTGGTGTAAAATATTTGATCAAAAGCTCGATTCACACCATTGGCCTCTCCACCCAATCCCGCGTCTTCGTTCCGGCGTACCGAATATTTGTTTGTTTAAAGAGAGACCTGCATTCTCCTTAGATGGCCGAGAACGGAAGCTCTTTTGCGGATTTTGCGAGCGGAACGAAACTCGCTCCGCGCACTCGTGTACCAAGGATTACCTGGTGTCGTGACCTAACGGTAATAGTTTCCCCGATTGAAACGTTGTTGGCTTTGTAGTGTGAATCTACCGCGAATCGGCAAACAAGTCCAATTCACGATTAACGCCAACATTCCGCGGCAGACAGCGGGAAATTGCTCCAGATTCACCAAGTTGTATGCATATTTCGCTATTACAGAGATCCACGCTATTACTTCTCCGCGCTCCGCTTCATTCTGTCCTCGTCTCGCTGTGCGCGAGCTCCCTTTGAGGGCTGTGGAAATTATTCGCGCGGTAGATCGAGAGAGAAGACGAGGGTACGACTCGCGAAAGAAGTAGACGTGAAATCTGGCCCGCAGCCTGGCCCCAAAACTTTCGCGTAATTTGCGCTAGTTCCACGTAAACGGCGCCTACTGGCGCGAAACTTGGGAGAAAGCTACGCGGTGGACGGAGCGTGAGGGCGAAAGGGAGGAGAAAGGCGCGGCAAGTAAGGGAAAGCGGTTAGAGGAGACAGCGAGAGACGGAGGAAATGTGGTAGAAGGTTTAGGAACGCGCGAGATGGCTCGCGTGCTAAACTATGCGTGTAATGCAATGAATTGTCTTAAGCCGTGTCAGAGAGGGAGACGGAGATTATCACTTTGTATTTCTTAATTAGTAAAATTTTTAATTTTTTGTCGGTTTTTATATAGTCGACTAGCATAGTCTAGATTTTGCTGCGTACTTTAATTCCGCAAAAGAATTGTGCATTTCTATAAAGCCAATTAAAAGATTATTTCTAACACAGAATGTCGATAAAACAGATGGCTTTAGGATCCCCTTAAAATTAATTTTAACAAACTCTACGCACAGGCTTAAGGTCAGCACGAATAGAATTTAGAATGTTTAGGAAAAAGCCAAGTGAACTATGCGTACTTTTGGTAAACTGCCATTTCTAAACCATTTGATCGATTCTCAGGATAAAAGTGTTGCAGAAGGATACAATTTTTATTTAGTGCCACTGATGATAATCGACGAGTGTCGTTAAAGGAGTTTCATCAGGCTCTTAGAAATGACAGCTTTCCAAAAGTACTCGTGATACACCTTGCATAATATCATAAATTTATAATTTATAATATATCCTAAGTCACTTTATAAAAGTATCTAGTTACAGTTAAAGTTTTCTTCGCTGAAAATGTAACTAATTACAGTTACACAAAAAGTAACGAATCGTTACTTTGCAGTTACTATCTTGCAATGAAAACAAAAGTATCAAATCTGCATTTGAATTGTAAGGCGAAAGGCGTTTATGCGGAAATGAAAGGCCTGATGCAATCTGTGGGGGGGGGGGGGTTAAATACATATAAAGTAACTATTAATGTAACTATAATTAAATTAGTTACTAGTTATCGAAAAAATGTAACTGAGTTAAGTTACAGTTACAGACCGAGAGAAAGTAACGAAGGTTAGAGTTACTAAAAAAACGAGTAAACTGTAAC